TCAGAAGAGATTCATCGAATGAAGTCATTCTTGGGGACAGAGTTCGAGGTTAAAGACCTCGGATTATTGAGATACTTTCTTGGCATCGAGGTTTGCAAATCGAAGAAAGGGGTATTCATTTCTCAAGGGGAAGTATGTGTTAGATTTGTTGGGTAAAACAAGCAGGCTTGGAGCTAGACCTATTGATATTCCCATTGAGCAGAACTATAGGCTTAATGATGTAGATGGAGACCCCATTAGATGATGTGGGAAAATTTCAGCGATTGGTTGGGAAACTGATTTACCTATCTCTTACGCGCCCGGATAATGCCTACGATGTTAGTGTGAGTAGTCAGTTTATGCATGCTCCACGTACACGTCACCTTGAGATAGCTCATCATGTTCTTCGCTACCTCAAAGGTTCACCTGGCAAGGGGATATTATTTGGCCGTCATGGCCCCTTGCGTGTTGAAGCCTATACTGATGCTGATTGGGTAAGGTCTGACAGATCGACGATCTACTTCAGGATATTACACATTTGTTGGAAGTAATCTTGTTTCATGGCGAAGCAAGAAACAGTCTGTAGTAGCTGGATCTAGTGTTGAGGCTGAGTTCAGATCCATGGCACATGGAGTTTGTGAGTTGTTATGGCTACGAACGATGTTGGATGAGTTGGGTTATCCTCTGTTCGCGAATCAATGAAGTTGTATTGTGACAATAAGGCTGCTATTAGCATTGCCCACAATCTAGTTCAACATGATAGGACAAAGCACATTGTAGTTGATCGACACTTCATCGGGGAAAAGTTTCGTCTTGGGCTGATTTGTACTCCATACGTCAACACACATGATTAGGTTGCTGATGTTTTGACTAAGGGTGTGAGCAAGACTTGCTTGCAAAATATGTTAGTCAAGCTAGGCATGATAGATATTTTGCACCAACTTGAGGGGAAGTGTTGTCAGTGGCTTATTTGTTATTAATTATATAATATTGAGGCTTATGTGTAATTTCTGAAACTTGTTAGTATAAACAGAATGTGGCGGAAGGATGAAAGTATTCTTTCATTCTTTCACTCTCTCCCCATCTCCCTCTCTCTCTCTCTCTCTCTCTCATCCTCTTTCTTCTCTTTTTCTTCTTCTCATACTTTACTCTTGATTTAATTATATCTTAAAGTCAACAAAATATCCCTATCTACGCATCCACCTTGGACACCCACCTCCTGTCCCAGACTCCCACATCACGATAATCCCCACAAAAGTACCTGTGGCTCCCAGCATCTCCCACTCCACAAATATCCCACCCCAAAGCCAATGGCCATCAAGCAGCTCAACCTCCAGCCATGAAGAAAGAGTTGCAACAATCCTCACCACCCTATCGGATACTAACTCCATCTTCGTCTCTTGATGACACACCACATGAGCTCCCCATTTTCGCACTACCAACTTTAACCACATTTCGTTTGTTCGGGTCATTGAGATCGCAGACATTCCAAGATATATGCGAAACATCATATGGAAACAATAGTGTTCCCCCTTCCTCCCCTCCTCCCTCTTCCCCTCTCCCTCTCCTTCTCCATCCCACTTCTTCCCTCATAATTCACATATGAAATGAGGTTCTGGACTTCCTCTCCCCTTACCACAAAGCATTCTTCTTCCTCCCTATCCCTTCACTACCCTCTATGGAGGAATGGAGCATCACCATAGCCCAATCATTCTTCCCCTCTTAAGTCATCCCCCCAGTATTATCCCTCACCCAGCCCTCCCCACAAGAAACACCCTCACCCACATCTAAGACTTCCTCCTCCCTCTCGGGGACCACCATTGCCTGCGATTCCATCATAACCCCTCCCACATCCTCATCCTTCTCCCAAGACAGAACACTGAGCTTGGGCAAGGCCTCCATTGCACACTCAAAAGGAATGCAAGCATAATCATCACATCCTTCTCCCTCATCTCCTTCGAAGTCCTCCAACCCGAGGATGAACAACCCCCTTCTAGCACAACAGCCCCAGTACCATTGTCTCCAGTATTTGTGACAACATCCAACCCTCTGAAATCTCTTTGAGCCCTCAATTCATGAATCAGGACAGTAGCCACATCATCACTTAGTCTGATCCGGCAGTCCTGCCCCACGTACACTGAAATCTTTTCGCCCCACGGACATTAGTCTGAAAATCACTGTCTCTCGACTCTCTCCCACTGTGTAAAGTATCAAAACCAGCAATTGGAGGAATCCCTGTGCATCCAGCCTGAACAGAGTCCTCATTTATTATTATTATTATTTTGATAAGTAAAAATTCATTAAAGGAGCTCAAAGGGGAGCGATCCCAAAAGAAAACACAAGCCGCGAGCCGCAACTTTATAACTTTAAGCTATCAAAAAAATCCAAAAGACTATCCGTTGATATACAATTTCGCCAATTTACCCAAAAAAAACAAAGAATTCAGTATGTTTTATTTGAGAGACCAAATACGAAACTCCTCTCCAACAAAGGATCTCCTATTTCTCTTACTCCATAGCCCCCACCATAAACATAGAGGAGTGGCCCTCCAAGCATCGCACACTCGGCTCTCCACTATACACCCTTTCCAAGCCTCAAGCAGGTCGACCGTTGATTCAGGAAACACCCAAGCCAATCCAAAAGCAACCAAGAACATATCCCAAATATCTCTCTCCACCAGGCAATGAAGCAAAAGATGGTTCACAGACTCCCCCGCCTTCTTACACATGCAACACCAGCTCACCACGACATGGCGTCTCCTTCTGAGGTTATCACAAGTGAGAATGCTTCCGAGGGCAGCGGTCCATGCAAAGAAAGCCACCTTCAAAGGGGCTTTCGTCCTCCAAACAGCTCTCCAAAGAAAGGGTTCGCTAGGAGTCTCCATCAAAGAAAGGGTTGGCTAGGAGTCTCCATCAGATTCCGGTAAAAAGATCTAACCTCAAACACCCATCTCGAGAAAGCCTCCTACACCATCTCATCCATTCCCACACCCTCCACCACCTCGTAATACAACAATGCAAGGAAATCAGTGACCTCCATAATCTCCCAATCTTGGAACTCTCTGTGAAATTGCACATCCCAAGTAACCCTTCCATTATCAAGCCGATAACAGTCAGCAACTGCAGCCTGCTTATTCACAGAAATGCCAAAAAAGTGAGGAAATCTAGAAGCAAAAGCAAAATCCCCGCACCATCAGTCCTCCTCATTTATCTCCTCCTGATACCATTCCAGCCAGCCCTCTGTCACTGTCAATAACCTCCGATCATTCAGTGATGGAACGCCTTCATTCTCCCCAACAAACTCCTCCACACCCCACAAGAAAGAGGAGGAGTAGAAGAAGAGGGAGCAGAAATAACATCTTTCTGAGAAATCTAAGATGAGAACATACCCAGTTTGTGGAGCTTAACCCATTTCTGTTTCTCCTTCCTCGACCATTTTCTTCTTCTGTTAGCCTGGGGGCGTGGAGGCATCACAAGGGGACCAACAGTGTTGGGCTTCATGCCCTGACTTGCTACAGGCCACCCACTTGTATTTGAGCGAGTCTCGGCGCCATTTTGAGTTGGGCAGTCATTAAGGAGCCCAAACCTATTACTTAAGACAGGCCCACTTGCCTTTGCAGCATTCCGGTTTGATGAGAACCTATTCATGTGGCTTGCAGCAGGCCTAGCAAGGTGGGCCAGAGGAGGCCGAGCCAGGTCTGTTACATTTGTCTCTGGAACCCAAACAAACATCCACTTCTCCCAGCAAACTGCATCGGTCCACATGGACTGGGCCCAATCGAGATGGCCAGTTACTTTTAGTGAAGGATGCTTTAGAATGGCCCAGGCTTTTAGAATTAACATGAGGTTTGAAATTAGAAAATGTGTGGTCCAGAGGACCTCTGCTCTGAAGTAACATGGTTTGGCAAACCCTGCCACCCCTCCATCGACACGTCACACACCAGCTGCCGCCCTCCAATTTTGACCGTTCGAAATAAGGCAACCATGTTTCCCTTTGTACTACCTACTCCTTCCATGCACCCAAGGTGTGCAACTCAGGTCATCCCTTCTGATCGTTCCTCTGAAAATCCGAAGCCTTAAGACTTCACCGGAAAATCATCCTTTTCGTCAAAGTGCTTCCTTCTCCCTCTAAGTTCCTTAGGAAGTGGTGCCACCAACTTTTCATTCATCCACGCCACTGTCAGCCCCATCATCGGTGGCGATACTTCCAACAGAGAAGCACAGAAAGAGACCCATTGATCTTCAACCATCACATGATCCAGAATGGATCCACCCTTTTCGACCACAATGACAAACCTCTCTGTGTCGTTTTTCTCTGCCATTTCGACTCCTTTATAGCCGCCACACTTATCACCTATGGCTTTGAACAAGGAATCACACCTCAAATCTAGTGGAAGTCCATACACCAAAATCCATCGCAGCTTCTTCAGAATGCCCGAGCACCCCACACGGTAAGCCCAGGTATCAAGCATCACCAAACTCCCTTCTGCCGCACTTGACCACCCTCTCTGCCAATTGGTGCGAAGGAAGACGAAACAAAAGAATAGAGTCCGGCAGAGAGGTCACCTCAACCCCACATGCGACCCTCTATACCTTTGAGGCCCACACTGTGATCTTCTCAATTTAGACTGCTTCCTTGTGGAAACGACCAACCAAGCATGATTTGAGAACTTCCATTCTCTGTTCAATGCTTCTGTCGTCGATCCTAAACTTATCTTTATATATGTTTCTATTTGAATAAACTTACAATAAAGTATTTCAGAAATTAAAAATAAGTTCTTCAACAGAAAGTTGTATTTCACTCATATTTCTCAATGCTCCCAAGTAAACAAAGTGGATGCTTTCATAGTGTGTAGACAAATATTAAACATGGATGGTTATTTGTATCTTTGTCAAATTTTTGTACTAGGATATTGCATACGTATCATAGCTATTATTTGGTATTCTTGAGATAAGAGTATCTAATTTTATCTTAAAATGATTATGCTCTCAGCTTAACTTTTTTTAGTTTTCTTTGTCCAGGAGGGAGAACTTGAAGCTGTTGCTGTAGTTCATTCATATGAAGACGGCATGCCAGCTGGATCTCACAAGACAAGGCTTACGGCTCTTAATGTATACCCGTTTAGACCATATCTTCTTGCATTTTCCTTGCCGCCTTGAAAGATTTTCACATTCACCGTGTTATACATCATGGATGAATGACCCATTTTTTTGTGTGCTGGAATCAGTTTGCACATGATATCTATTTGGATAAATTACTCTAAATCTCCCTTGAGGTTTGCGAAAATTACTGTCAGATGAAAGTTTTGAGAAAATTTAAACCTCCCCTGAGGTTTGATGAAATCACAGTCAACCTCTTTTTGTTACATATATTTGGGTTTGTATATGCAGGAATAAGAAACAAGGAAAAGACTAAAATACCCCTTTGGTGCAGTATCCTGTAGCGGATCTTCTATCTTAGGGAGCATCTGTAAAACCTTCCATCTTAAGGTGCCCATTTGATTTATACAACAACCCGAGGCCTGGAGCTCGCTTAAGATATCAAATATTCTGAAGAACAACATTTCAATGTGGCACCCTAGGCGCTCCTATGAACTGACTCACTACACTAACCGCATACGAGATATCAAGCTGAGTAATGGTGAGATGAATCAATTTGCCAACCAGTCACCGGTATGCGTCAGGATCGTCAAATAGATCACCCTCATGAGCTAATAGTTTTGTGTTCGGATCCATAGGAACATCAACTGGACAACCACTTTATAGATCTGTTTCTTCTAATAAGTCCAACACATATACCTCTTAAAACAAATTTACACCTTTTTACTATCTAGCAACTTCAATTCCCAGAATATATCTGAGTTTACCCAAGTCTTTAGTATGAAACTGATGTAGCAGAAACACATTAAACTTAGCAATGTCCGTAGAGTCATCACCTGTGACAAAAGAGGCTTACGTTGACAACACTTTGCCGAAGCAGATTTATTATTTTTACCCTCAAATCTATGATACTCAGGTTTGACAGTGGCAACTTTTTCAACTTCAGACGAGTTGTTGATTGCTTCCTTAGATTCTCCTCTTTCGCCTTGCTTCTTTGCCCTCTTCAATCTCAGATTTGTTGTTGCCCGATCAAACTTTAGTTGTTGCATCATTTGATTCAATAGAGGTGATTAATGTAAACAAGATTAAGAGAGAATAATGAAAGATATGTAGCACTTTGGGCTTTGTGTGCTGTGGATGTAAGCCCTAGTGGGCTGAACAACGTATATCTTCGCATTGTTTCATCTTTTTTTCTCTCCTCAATTTTAACAGTTACAAAATCTCTTCCCAAAAGTTTAAGCTGTTAAAGAGGATTTAACTTTAATTCTTATATCTTTTACACACTTTTGTGTGCCTGGAGTGGGTTAAGTGTGTGCTCATCAGCTAGGTATTGAGATGCTATCTTAGAATCTGTGTGCTTTGACACCATGTAGACAAACACTTATCCAGGAAGATTAATTTGTGTGAGAGGATAAAACTTAAATATTTGTGTTGTCAATAGATATGATAAACAAATATCAACAAATATTCAAAACTTCATTATATATTCAAACTACCATGAAACTGTCTAAATGGGATTGATAATATATGGCATGCATTCCTTTTTCTGTATGTGTTCTGTTTTAGAGATGCATGTAAATATTTTATAAGGATGTTCAAAAAATAATAAGAGAGAGAGAGAGAGAGAGAGAGAGCCCTGACCTGTTTTTAAAAGCTACTACTGGGGAATAGGTTTCAAACATCTTTTGGTTTTCTGTTTAGTTGCAAAAACAATTTTGATAGATGGTTGATTGTGTCTTGATTCCCTCCTATAGTGTGATCTCAGCTCTAAAATTATTTCAGTTCACAAGGATTGGTTATTGTTTGTATTAAAACACAGAAAAAGATCTGCTCTGAAACTTAGCAAACATGTCAGAATTCTATAGTATCGATATTCCTGCAACACTTGTTTTTTTGAAAAAAATTGAATTCGTGGCTCATGGTGGTGCAAATGGAGCTTTCTGCATGTAACATTGTAAACTTGTCAATCTGTTCATTCCCTTTATCTTTCTAATTGCAGTATCTTTCATTAAAACCATCTCCTTTTAACAAAATTGTTGCTGAATGGTATGTCATTTGTTTTAAATTGAGTTTTCTATGTAGTTACACCATGTGTATAACTCTGTAACCATTTGTTTCAATGTAAGAAGAACATGATGCATTTCTAGAGTGCCAATGGTTCCTGATTGTTTCTTAAAATAGGTTCCTCCTATGGGTCTCTTCTACCCGATGCTTTTGATTCCAGATGTTTATCCTTCGCCACCCCGTTCTTGGTGAGTAGTGTTATTTAAATTTGACGGCTATGCATCATGAAATTACTTGTGCCAGGTCATTTTTTTCCCTATACATTGTCATATAATGGTTTTACTTTTCCAGGTTTAATGACTACGAGGATATGCTGGAAGATACTTGGCATATGGAATTTCCACGAAGAACTGATATGTCAGATGGCTTTTTTCCTGGCATTAATGGTGGATTACCAATGTGGGATAGCTATCCAGTTTTTGAAACTAAACAAAAGAAAGAAGATAATATTGGCCTAGCTGAAGCTATCACGAAGAGCATTCTTTCAACTGGTAAATTAGTATCCAATAGTTCTGTACTATATGGTAAAATTCGTTGTAATCCTGAATACACTGTTTTTTCCTGTATTGACAGGGCGTATAGAACTCCAAAGAAAATTGTTTTGTAGCATACAACTGGTTAGTTTTTGCAGCTTTAGTAAATTGTATAGCTTTAAAATTTAAATATTCCATGTTGCATGGATAAATGATATAGTTCTGTGTTTTAGATTGGTGGAGTGGCTTTAACAAGTGGTCTTATATCTGCTGTAGAGGAGAGGTTTGTTTCTCTCTTCTTTTGTATTAAGTAGTAATTGTATTTGCTGTCTTGAATGTGTTCTTTTTCACGATGTCTATGCAATGATTATGTTGAAGAGCATAAATAGTTTTAAGTCTGAACAAGGCGCAACACGTAGAATTAGCAGTGTTGTAAGCATAAAATATATGTGAAGAGAGAAATTAAACGAGTAGAACACACAACTATTATGTGATTCAGCCACTAGGGCCTACATCCACGGCACAAAGAGCCCAAAGGGCTACATCACTCTTATAATATTCTCTCTTTTTATACACAATACAATGGTGGAGGCTCCTCTATATATGAGAAGATATGATGAGAGTGGAAAGAGAAAGAAAATAGGAAAAAAGGAGGATTCTTTTCCACTAATTCCTATAGTAACAGTAAATCTTCAATAATTGGAAACAACATCAAGTTGGAGCATGAATGCCCAACTTGCCATTGAGATGATGAGTAGCAGCAAGTGCGAATAATGAAAAGAGAGAAGAGAGAAGATGAAAAACAATGCTACTGAACACACTGGCTTCCCAAACAAGTCAACAAAAACTGTTGGAGACACGGCGAAGGTGAAAAGCAATGCTACCCAACACACCGACAGCCCAAACAAGTCAGCAAAAACTACCGGAGACCTAGCAAAGGTGGAGAACAATGCTACTGAACACACCAACAGCACAAACAAGTCACTAAAAACTGCCGAAGACACGGCAAACGCTAAGAACAATGCTACCGAATACACTGGCAGCCCAAACAAGTCACAAATAACCCCTAGAAACCCTTAGCAACATTTCAGATGCTAAGGGAATACCCCAAAATAGGGGTCTGAACCTAGGAAGTGAAATTAGGCTTTGATACCATGTTGTAAATAATAAAATATCAGTGAAGAGAGAAATGAAACAAGAAGAACACAAAAGATATTACGTGGTTCAGCTACTAGGGCCTGCAGAAACTAAACAACAAGAAGAACACAAGATATTAGTTGTGTGCTCTGATACTATGTTTTAAAGCATAAAATATATGTGAAGAGAGAAATTAAACAAGAAGAACACAACTATTACGTGGTTCGGCCACTAGGGCCTACATCCACGGCACAAAGAGCCCAAAGAGCTACATCACTCTTATAATATTCTCTCTTTTCATACACAATACAATGGTGGACGCTCCTCTATATAGGAAAAGAAATTATGCAAATGGAAAGAGATAGAAAATAGGAAACAAGGAGGATTTTTCTCCACTGATTCCTCTAGTAAAATAAATCTTCAATAATAGGAAACAACATCAATTACTGGAGGATTTTCCTCCACTGATTCCTCATTAAATCTTCAATAAGCAGTCATACTGTAATATTGTTGCTTCTTGGATTGTGAAGTTCAAATTTTCAGCATTAGCTGACTGTAACTTCCCCTGAAATTTGGTGGAGGGTGCATGTATTGCAATTTGTTTCATCTGATTGATTTTGATTGTAATATTAGATCAGGCCATCAACAGCGTGGCTGATATATGTATTATTGTCCCATAAAATAAGTGCTAACAGGCTAATGCATTGAAGTTTCGTATTATAAACATCCATTGCTAAATTAGTTAACATTGTTGAGAGTATAAATACCACACTCCAAAAATTTCTATTAAGAATTATTATTTTTATATGTTAAACACTCACTAAACGCATACATAGTATGCAATGCATCTGTAGGAGTATACAAAAGGATCAAGATTCCTATAAAATCCGAAAACTGCTCGAAAGAGGGGCCAAATTCCATGTAACCAACAATGCTACAAACTCTAGAATCTACCTTTAATCTTGTTTATAGGCTCATCCATACCCTCAAAGTGCTTCCTCTTCGGCTCCTCCCAGGTGCACATGTGACAATGGGGGACTACATCCAATTCTCTAATAAGAAATAGAACACACGGGAGCACCTATGAGACTTCAAAATAAGTCAAAATCATAGCTCCCAAGCTACTCTACAGTAAATGAGAAGATGATCCGCCAACTCCCCATTTTCCATATGCCGCATCAACGAGGGATAAATTTACCCCTCAAAGTCAAATTAGCAGTGCCAAAAAAAACTTCCATGGGCTGCCTATCAACCAAAGAGTGGTGGCACCTTATACGATGCCGTAGTCTTCCAAATTATATTGTGAGGAATGGACACCTTCATAGGATATACTTCCTGCTCACAGCAAGTCTTATACCTTGAACCACCTTCCTTGGAACACTTTCACTGGATCTTATCTCTTCCTCCTCTTCCAACCCCCTAAATAACTCTTTTTCAGAATCTCCATCACAGCCTCAATTTCCCATTCATTTATTGTTCGATGGACACAGACCTCCCAACTCCCACAGATCCCTTCACTCTCCCTGATCCTTTATCAGAAATTACCTGATCTGTCCATTATAAAGGCAAATGGAATTCTTAGTTCAGAAGTTCCCATGTCCAGATTGTTGATGGTATTAGTTGGTAAAAGGTTGTGGTCTCAATATAATAACTAATGACTAACAACATGAAGGCATTCAACACCAACCTACAATAGCGGCAATGTTGTGTGTAGAAAGATGCAGTGACATCTAAATTTGACACTGGATATGTAACAGAGATGCAGTCCATGACAGTAAGGATGAATGTACACATAACAAGTTCTTTGACTCTATAGTGACGAACTATACCTGAGTTGCTAGATAAGTCAAAAGAAATACAATATAGAAGAAAGAGAAGAGAATTGTGTAAAGGCTTGAATGAGATAATCACTCATTCACAGCTCTAATATTTATAGATAAAAAGAGCACATGCTCATATTACAAGAAAGGAAATTAAATCAAATCTTAATCAAATCACAACATATTCTATGCATATTCTATAGCATAATCATATCTCTACTAATATGGTAAATCATTTCATAAATCGTGGCTATCATATCTGCTAACACTCCCCCTCAAGTTGGTGCGTGGATATCTAAAACGCCCAACTTGGACAATGCATTCTCAAACACAATCTTGAAGACGCCCTTTGTAAGAATTTGTGCAAGCTGCTAAAAGCTTGTGACAAATGGAGTGAAAATCTGACTAGCGAAGATTTTCTCTCAGATAAAGTGTGATCAACAAATCAAAAATGTCGCCTTAGACCATGAACAATTAACAATGTCTCCTCAGACCAAAAACAACCAATCATTCTCCTCAAACCGTAAACAACCAACAATGTCTCCTTAGACCATTTCCCTATACACATGTTTAAAACATGTAGATGGAAGAATCAACAATGTCTCCTTAGACCATTCCTCTCATTGTATTTTTCAGGAGCTAGTGTCGAAACGGACGTTTGGCTGTGGGCGTGAAATGGACGGTCTATACCTGTTGGATGCTCCTTTGTAACATCAAGCACATTCAGTTTTATTTTCTAATTTTGTTTCATCTAATAAAGCCCAGCTTATGCACATGTGTTTAGGGCATATTTCTTTCGGTTATTTAAAACATCTATTTCCTTCCTTATTTTGTAACGTGGCAATCTCAGATTTATCCTGTGAGACGTGTCACCTGGCTAAACATGTTTGTTCCAATTATCCTGCTAGTCGTAATAAATCTGCTTTTAACACCTTTTGATCTTGTTCACTCAGATGTGTGGGGTCCTTGCCCAGTTACTTCTAGTCTTGGATTTCAATATTTCATGTTGTTCATTGATGATCATAGTCGTGTTACATGGCTTTATCTTATGAAAACCAAAAATGAGGTACACACCATTTTTTAAAATTTTATGACAATGGTTCAGACTCAATATGGTCGTACAATTAAAAATTCAGATCTGCCTAGGGTACAAAGTACATTTATGGGGAGGTACAACAGTTGTACAAAATTTGGGATTGAGCATCAGATGTCTAATGTTAAAACTCCTCAACAAAATGGTCGTTCTGAGAGAAAGAATCACCACATCCTTGACTTAACCAGAGCAATCTGCATTGGCATGAATGTTCCCAGGTCATTTTGGGGAGACGCAGTTCTTACAGCTATTTACATCATTAATAGGACCCCTTCAAGGGTTCTTAACTTTGCATCCCCACTCTCAATCTTACATCCCAATTCATCTCTTTTTTTTATTCCTCCGTGAGTCTTCGGATGTGTATGCTTTGTTCAGCAGTTGGGGCAGACTCATACAAAGCTTGACCCCAAGACTTTGAAGTATGTGCACTCTCAAAAAGGTTATAGGTGTTACCATCATCCCAGTCGTCGGCGGTTTATATCCGTGGATGTTTCTTTCTTTGAGCATACACCATACTATAGTGGTTCAGTTGGTTCTCAAAATGAATGGTTCCCATTAAATAAAATTAATGATTACAGTTTTCTGTTTTCAACTCCTCTACCTCTACTTGTTTCGTCTTCTATGATTCCTCCTCGTGATACCCCTTCAGCAAGGGGAATTGTTCCTTTTCCATAGGTTTATAGTTGGAGACAACAGGTGCAAGCTTTTACTTCCACGATCAACTGCCCAATTCCTTCGGCACCAGCTCCGCCTTCTCAAGCTATTGTTTCGCTTGATTATCGCCCCATTGCTTTTAAAAGAGTAAACGTTCTTGTACATACCCTATATCTAATTTTATTTCTGATTGTGCTCTCTCACCCTCTTATCGGAGTTTTCTTGTTTCTGTTGCCTCGGTTCCTCTTCCTTCTAATGTTGCAGATGCACTAGCACAACCTCAATGGTGTGATGCTATGACAGAAGAACTACAAGCACTTGAGAAAAATCAGGCTTGGGACATGGTTCCGCTTCCTATTGGACAAAAGGATGTGGGTTGTCGTTAGGTATTTACAGTTAAGCATAATCCAGATGGGTCAGTTGCTCGTTACAAGGTTCGGTTGGTTGCCAAAGGTTATGCTCAGACTTATGGCATAGATTATCAGGAGACTTTTGGCCCTATTGCTTAGATGAATACCATCTGTGTATTATTTTCCTTTGCTGCGATTTGATCTTGGCCTCTATTTCAGTTAGATGTCA